CCCAGTGGTTTCTGAACGAAGGGCTTGATTTTCCTGCACCCTGCTGACTGTGGCAGGGCAGCACCCCCTCCCGGTGCCCATTCCAGGGGGGAACTCCTGCAGCAGCTTTTCCCCACGGGACGAGTGAATATTCCTCTTTAGCAGCAGCTCAGAATCCTGGCAACGCCAGGAAGAGGCTCTGAAATGCCGCAGTGGGAGCGTGAAGCGCAGGATGTGTCATTTGGAGATAGAAACACTATTTTGAGATAGAGAACATTCAGATATTTTCAATATTAACTATTATAAGCAAACATTTCTTAAATTCCTACACAAACACTTATTTATAGCAGTGTGTGGCGTTGGGGGTGAGATGAGGCTCAGTCCCAAGCACACAGAACAACATCAGGACCTCGCCAGCCTTTATTCATCACATCCCAAATTAACTCGGGCTGCAATTAAGTCAGGCCTAGGCCCAGTCCATGGAGAGCCCAGCTCGGTGTGCTGGGCAAGGCAGAGCTTTGCTGCAAATTAAGAGACAGGATAATGAAAATGCTGCCCTGATCTCCTGGAGACACTAGCAGAGCTTCAGGTTGTCCTGAAGGGCAACTTATCACAGCTAAGTGGAAGGATGAAGGGTTTGTATCTGATCTAAGGAAAACTGTTTGGGAATCACATCTGCTTTCCCTGAGCATCATTCTTCATTTCAGGCAAAGGTTCACAGAGCTGCCCTGTCCTCACCTGGAGGGGCACAGGGTGTCTGGGCAGGAGCCCCCCTTCCCACCCTCCAGCCAGCAGCCCAGGTCTCTCCTGGCCCTGCCCTTGCCCAGTGCCAGCTTCTTTCTGCCCAGCGTGGGGGCACGGGAGGACGCAGGTGTTCTTTTACCTGGGTTTAGTGCCCACACAGCAGCACAAGCTGTGGCTTTAGCACTGGAGGGCACAGGCACCCGAGCCCCAGAGGGTCAGACCGGCCATGCTGGGAGCAGCGGGGTGGGCTGGGACCCCAGGGTGCAGGCTCACCCTCCCCGCACCCCCAGCCCAGCAGAGCAGCCAGGCCAGCCCTTACCCCTTTGCAGATGGCCACTGCCTCCTTGGACATGGACTTGGGGTAGGCGACGTTGTGCTCCATGATGGACTGGAAGAGCTCGTCCTCGTCTTCTCCCTCGAAGGGAGCCTAGAGCCAAGCAGGCACAGCTTCAGGGGCGTCCCTGGACCCCACAGCTCCGGGGTGCTCCGCCCTGGCCACGGAGCCAGCGCCGGGCGTGCCACTCGAGTCCTGTCACTGCGGTCCCGGGGCTGTGCCGCCAGGGTCACCCCAGCCCCAGGAGCTGCCCCGCGTGCCAAGCCCCACGGCAGCCCGTGCCCACGTGGAACACAGCCCAGCCCACGGGGATCAATTCAAAGTGGGTCACCTGGCCAGCCAGCATCTCGTAGAGCAGCACTCCGAACGCCCACCAGTCCACCGACTTCCCGTAGGGCTGGTAGGCGATGATCTGCAAGCAAGGCAAAACCAAGAGTCACGTCAGGGGCAGCAGAGCACAGCCCAGCCCGGACACGGGCACAGCCCCTCCAGCTGCAGCGGGGCACCGGCACGGGGCTGGCCCTGGGACACCCGCCAGCACTGACATCCCTCCCCCGAGGGACCCCAGCCCTCCCCCTGCTCCTCACCAGCCCCTGGGAAATTCAGTTGGGTGGGAGCAGCTCGCACCACAAAGGCCTTTGAAAGGAAAGAGCGCTTGAAAGAAATCCCCTGTCCTGTGCAGTGCCCCACGGCTGGTTTGGGAAGGTCACAGCCCTGCAGGTGGCACAGTGGCACAGTGACACAGCCCTGCAGGTGACACGGTGACACAGGTGACACAGTGACACAGCCCTGCAGGTGACACGGTGACAGCCCCGCAGGTGACACAGTGACACAGGTGACACGGTGACACAACTCCGCAGGTGACACAGTGACACAGTGACACAGGTGACACAGCCCTGCAGGTGACACAGGTGACGAGCAGCTGTGCTCAGAGTGGTGACACACGGCCCCGTGCAGGCTGTCCCTGTCACCTGGCATGCCGAGCCCAGCCTGGAAGAGCCACAGGCCCGGCCGTGGGCCAGGCAAATGCAGGACAGGCTGCAGGCAGGACTGCAGGAGCTTCAGTGCAGCCACCCGGCCCCAGCACAGAGCACGGAGCAGCACAAGGGCCCGGCTGGAGCGTGGCCCTGGCACCACAGGCACAGAGCCAGGCAGTGGGACTGCACCCCTGGGTGCCACGGGCAGCAGTGCCCTTCCCTGGGTGCAGCACCACAGGCACAGAGCCAGGCAGTGGGACTGCACCCCTGGGTGCCACGGGCAGCAGGCTTTAATGCTTTCCCTGGGGGCCAAAGTGATTTGCATCCTAATTTCCCATTTGCTGTTCTTTCGGAAAAAGACAAATTACAGCGAGGAGAAGGAAATAAGAGTCAAAGTGAAAACGCTCAGGCAAACACACGGAGAGCTGGTCATTTGTCCTGCCTTGAAGGAGCATTAATCACCCACAGTCACAGGCTCTGCACCAGCAGCACCAGAATTAATCCTGGTGGGATGAGGGATGCAGCACACCTTGGATCCAATGATGGGAAACCTCTGGCTGCAGCAGGCACAATGTGGTTTAGCACACAAGTGCATTGATGTCCTAGCAAAGAGAATCTTTCTCTAAAACATTTAAATGAATAAATATCAACTTCATCATTGCAAATTCAGCAGAAAGACTTTAGAGGGATACCTTTAAGTGAAGGGAACAAACATTTGAGAATAATTACCTCTCTGAATTTCACACGCCTGGCATTAAACTGTGCTCATACAGCACTTCATGGAAGTGTCACATGTGACTCTATCACATCAGTAACAACTGAATGCAAAATCATTTTGTGGGGATCTAGAGCCATGGATGGGGAGCCTCTCCCCATTGGACACACGGCCCCTCACTGCCAACAGCGAGGTGGAGAGACCTAAGGATTCCCACTCCACATGAAAATATTATCCACTGACACCTCCCTGTTGCTCACTGGTCGTGGTGTGCTGACCCTTCTATCACACAGAGTGAGGGGCAGAGCTGAGCTCCTGCGTTTGTCCTTCCCAGGTCAAGGGAGCAGCCTGCAGTGGGTCTGAGCGTGCCAAGGACAGAGCAGGCACAGAGCTGGCAGCAGGGAGGGCACGGGAGAAGCCCCAGAGAGGGAAAGCACACGGCAGGGAGGGCATGGGAGAAGCCCCAGAGGGAAAGCACACGGCAGGGAGGGCACGGGAGAAGCCCCAGAGGGAAAGCACACGGCAGGGAGGGCACGGGAGAAGCCCCAGAGGGAAAGCACACGGCAGGGAGGGCAGCACGAGGCTGGGCTGCCCTTTGAGGTGGAAGCAGGACACGGCACAACAGGGAGGCAGATCCAGCATCCCCGTTCCCTCAGGGGGATGTGGAGATGCACAGTGCCGGGGGCAGGAACTCTGCGGGCTGATGGAGAATTCCTGACACCCCTGTCCAAGCAGGAAAGCTGCCCAGAGCGAGGTCACCCCACAAAGGGCAGGAGCAGCAGGAGCACGGGGCTCATCGGCCGCTCCGTCCCTACCTCGGGCGCGATGTAGTCCGGGGTGCCACAGAAGGTCTTGGTGGTCACCCCGTCCCAGATGTTCTCCTTGCACATGCCAAAGTCGGCGATCTTTATGTGTCCCTCGCTGTCCAGCATCACATTGTCCAGCTTCAGGTCTCTGCAGGGTGAGAGCAGAGCCGTGACCCGGTGCAGAGCCCTGCAGGGCTGGGCCGTGCCCGCCCCACACCCCGGCCCTTGTAGGAAAATATTCGGGGAAACGAGTGAAAATAACCCAGAGGTCTGTCAGGATGGAGTGCTGATTTGACTTTTAACCCACAGCAATGCTGTGCTGGGCACAGCGCTTTGAAGAGAGCGATGGAAAGCACTCATCTGGCAGGAGACCGATTTAATTGATTTTTTTCTTTCACTCCTGTGAAAATCAAAGTGCACTTGGAGCTCTCGTGGCGGAGAAGCACCTACTCAGCACAAGTCCCTGCCTCACCTGAGCTGTGTTTGCCTCTGATCCTCAGCCCAGAACAGCTGTTTGTGGTACCCAAGCCCCAGGAGCTCCTCTCCTTTGCCCAAACTGTCGAGGTGGATCCAACCTCAGATCCCCAGATCCGGATCCCAGCCCGGAGCTCCAGAGGTGGATGCTCCAGCCTCAAGGACACTTGTGTAGCAAACACTGGGATTTTGGTGCAGTTTAGCCGTTCCTGCTGGGTTCAAGGCTGTATTTTCTAATTCTCGTGTCAGTGCTCAGAGCCCTGACAGGCCTGAGGCAGACAGACATGAGCTGGGATTCGGATCCGGAGGAGGGAAGGAAGAGGAGCCACTGGGGACCAGCAGACCCAGAATCTCTCCATAGCAGCTGACAGCAAAAACCAGCCCTCACGTCAAGTTTGTTCCACTTCTTTCATCTTTAGCATCTCCTGACTCCAGCAGCACTGTTGGCATCTCCCTTCCCGGAGCCCTTAATGGGATCTGACACTCATTAGGATGCTCTGCTCCGCCCTGGGCTCTGGGAACTCTCCCAGGCAGGGAAGAGTGCTGCTTTCAGAGCTGGAGCAGCAGCCCGTGAGCCTGGTCCCACCCCTGGCAGTGACCCAGCTGCCTCCGGGCGCTGGGATCACGCTGGGAACCGCAGAGAAGCCTCAGTGGCTGGAGCAGAAGTGACAGAGCGGCACCGGCCAGGGGCAGTGGTAAGAGAGCAGTGCCCTGCAGCCAAATTCGGGGCTGGGAGCTGCTCCAGGTGCCAGGGAGCATTTGTGCTGTGTGGAGAGGAACACAGGGAACAGGAGAGAACCAGAGCTGCCTTCCCACGGAGCGGGGTAAAGCAGGAACCTCCCCCAAGCAGGGGCACCCCACGGGTGCACGGCTGGCTCAGTGATCCCACAGGTCTTCTCCAGCCTTAAGGATCCTGCCATTCCACCCGTGGGCAGCTGCCAGAGCCCAGCCGTGGCACGGGCAGGGAGAGCCCCGGGCTGGGGCAGGGCAGGAGCCCGGAGCAGAGCTCTGGAGAGGGGAGGGAGGGAGAGGAACGCGCCCACCTACCGATAAATGATGCCTTTGCTCTGCAGGAAGAAGAGCCCGATGGCTATTTCTGCTGCGTAGAATCTGGAAGAGGAGGTTTAAAAGGAAGACTGATAATGAAAGGAGATAAATGAACAGCTTCCCAGTCGGGTGGCAGCGAAGGAAAGGCGTCAGGCAGATGTGACCGAAGGACAGGGCAGCCAGGGCAGGGAAATGCCAGGGGAGGCTCACAGGGGAGGCCCCGAGGCAGCCGGAGCTGGCAGCGGGCAGCGATGCCACCAGGCTGCTGGGGGCTGTCACTTCTGGCTGCCCAAATTAAACCGGAGCCACGGCTGCTCCTCCCGACACGCTGGCTGTGGCTCAGACATCCCTGCCACGCTGCCCGTGGGCACAGTCCGGGTCTGAGGGCTCTGCCAGACACCCGCTCAGCCCACCAGGCTCTGCTCAGCACTCCTGGGTTTGCTGGCAGCATCTGGAGGCTCTCAGGAACGTGTCCTGCTCTGCCCAGCTCTCAAGGAGCAGGAGCCAAGAGCCCCCAGTTAACACTCGGGGTGGCCACCCTGGCAGAGGAGCCGAACCCTGCCTCGTCCCCTGGGGAAGGACAGGCAGGGCAGAGGCCTGGTGGCTCCCAGGAAGCCTCCACACCTCCCTGCCTCGTGCCTTTATCTACCTGCGTTTATCTATTTAGCTCAATTCCTCATACAATGCGCCCCAAGGGTGAGGTGGAGGCACCAGCATCAGACAGAGAATTCTTCTGCATCCTCCCACTCCTGATTCCTGCCCAGGAGCTGCACTGCAAAGCCTGGGACTCTGTTTCCACCCCTGTGACACAGGTGCATCCCACACCTACCGCAGAGGTGCCAGACCCTGCACTTACACAGCGTGGGGCTCCTTGAACCTCCCGACCTGCTGGATCTGGTACATCAGGTCCCCGCCGTTCACGTATTCCATCACAAAATACAAGCGATCCTGAGGGAAGAAAAACGGGCAATTAGCACGGGATTACCAGAGCAGGAAACCTGCCCCAGGGGACTGCTGCAGTCTGTCGCTCCAGGGAAACACAGACACCATCCCTGTCCTCCCTCGGGCTGCAGGGCTGCTGTCCACCAAGCACCAATTCCTTGGGGACGCTCAGGACTGCAGCTCTGCCCCTCCACAGACAGATCCACTGGAGAGGGCAGGAGGAAGAATCCCTAAACCAGAGCTTTTTCACTTCCCAGGAGTACGTTTGCTCTTCTTGGCAGAAGCCATTTCCAGTGCTGTCCTGCAGGGCCCTGCTGGCATTTCCCCAGGCTCTCCAGGGCTTCAGCCAAGGGATGCACGGAGACACGGGCACTTCCCACGGGGACCAAACTGCATCCACAGCCACCAGGGCTCGGCCATGCCCAGGAGGGTGTGGGACACTCCAGCCCTCTGCCAGGAGGGCAGGGCCGGGGCTGCACAGGTCTGCAGGGGACCCCTGCTCGAGCTGGGGGGCAGGAGGGAGCTCCAGCCTCTCCCCACTCCTTCCAGCCCGGGCTGAGGCATCTGGCCACATTCACAGCGGGTTAAGGGACCCAGAGGAGGCCATGGAGCTGCTCCCAGGGCTGGAGCCAGGCTGGGAATGTTCAGGTGGACAAGAGGAGGCTCCAGGGAGAGCTCAGAGCCCTGCCAGGGCCTGCAGGGGCTCCAGAAGAGCTGCAGAGGGACTGGGGACAAGGATGGAGGGACATGGGCACTCCATGCAGGAGAGCCCAGCGCCAACGCCAGGATGCCACATCCGAGCTGGGAGGGAAGGGAAGGGAAGGGAAGGGAAGGGAAGGGAAGGGAAGGGAAGGGAAGGGAAGGACACGGCAGCTGGAGCGCTGCAGGAGCTGCAGGCTGGCAGCACTACAGAACAAAACATTTCCCAGTGCTCCTTTCCTCCTTGAATAAGCCCAGGAAGGGCAGGGAGCCCACGAGAGGTGCAGCTGGGGCACTGCCATAACCAGGGCTGAGGGGAAACCCGCGGGGCATTTCCCAGCCTGGCAGTGCCCAGCAGAGGATCCTGGCTCAGCAGCTGCTGCCCCAGCACAGCCCCCCAGCCGTGGGGCAGCCCCAGGGGATGGAGCACAGCAGCACTGGGGCAATGGGGCTGTGTACAACACTGGCACTGACGGGATGGAGAGGGGAATTTGGCTTTTCACTGCCTGGGGACTGGGGAGCACCCCTGAGTGCAGCACAGCCCTGGCAGGGCCGGCCAGCCCCGGGCAGCCACGTGTGCCAATGTCACCTTGAGCAGGCACGGCCACGGCAGCGCCGCTCGCTGCAGCTGCCTCCTAAATATATCGATCTGCTCCAGGGAGGAAGAGCATTCAAAGGACGGGCTCTTGAAGCAGCCAGCTGAGCTCTAAAAGCAGGACTGAGCTCTCCTCCCCTGGGTGGGGAAGGGAGCGCCGGTGCCCCGCAGAGCCGTGCCCAAGGCAGGCAGAGGCTGGGCTGCCCACGGGGACGGGCACCGAGCTGTCCTGGCTCTGCCCGTGCCAAGGCTGGAGCACCCAAACCCGCCGAGCAGCAGCACAGCACGCAGATGGAAACCCACTGCAGAGCCTGGCACCGAGCTGGCGACACTGCCCCGGCCCCGGGCAGCCAGGATGGCACTGCCAGGGCTCCTCTCAGTGCCCCTCTGATTAACTGCTCCATCCCCTGCCTGACTGCAGCCGGGAGCAAGAGGCAGAGCCAGACAACAGCCACGCTCCCCATCCACCCCTTACTAGATATGAGGGAGAGATTCCTCCCTGGCAGGGTGGGCAGGCCTGACACAGGTGCCCAGAGCAGCTGGGGCTGCCCCTGGATCCCTGGCAGTGCCCAAGGCCAGGCTGGACAGGGCTGGGAGCAGCCTGGCACAGTGGGAGGTGTCCCTGCCCATGGGTGATCCTCAAGGTCCCTTGCAACCCAAACCATGCCAGGATTCTGTGATTTCTCATCTCAGCGGGGCTGTGGCTGCTGTGCCCTTCACTGCCGTGCCCAGAGGTCACAGCAGAGGCCCGGCTCACCTGGGGACCCCCAGGGACCCCCAGACCAGCCCCCTCCCAGAGCCTGGGGCCTCTCAGAGCACCTCCAGCCCCAGGCAGGAGCTCTCTCCTTGCTCATCCTGCCTTTTCCTTTGGAGGCAGATTTGGGGCTTTTCTCTCTCCTGGAGCCGCTGAGCCAACAGCCCCGGTGCAGAATTGTGCTCTGGACTGTGCTCCCAGAAATCAAAGTGCTTTGTGCCAGCGTTTGATAATGCAGCCTGCTATACATTTTGATTACCTTACAAATACGATTACTATTAAGCCACTATAGGTCTGGCAGGAATAATCTCACGTCAGATGCCAGGGAGACGCTGTGTGGAATAGCTGCTCCTGCCACACTCTGATTGCTGCGCTGCAAAGCCGGGCCGCAGGCTTTAAATGCACTCAATGTGCTTGGTAAATGAAATTTCTGGGACAATATTAAAACGTAATCCTCCTGGAAAGCATTGTCACCGTTCAAAGGACTCTGCTGATTCCCTCTGCTGGCTCCACTGACTGCACCTGGGCATTCTCATTCACAGGCTGCTGGAGGGCCGGGCAGGGATTGCATTATTGCATTAAAGGTGCCCGTCCCCCTCTCCACTCCTGACTCACGCAAACCCAGTCACACAGCCACGGAAAAGTGGATTTCCTGCAGTTTGGTCTGGGTTTCTCCCTTTGCTCAGGGCTTTGCTGAGGGGAATGAGTCTGGGAAGAGTGCAGCACTTTGCTGCTGAGCCATAAGGGATGCTGCGGGCTGGGACGTCACCTCCAAAGTCAGCAGCACTCCCTGGTGAGCACACCTCAGCTGCAGCTGCTGTGCACGACACTGCCATGGCACACACCCACATTTTGGCCCCGGAGCCACTTTTGCCAGTGAACTGGGCAAGGTGTGAGGCTGCCAAGGCAGAGAACACACAATTGCTTTGGCAAGCGCAGAGATATATACAGAGAACAGAAAATCCTGGAATGGCTTGGGGTGGAAGGGACCTTAAATGCCACCCAGCGCCACCCCTGCCATGGGCAGGGACCCCTCCCACTCCCCCAGGTCACTCCAAGCCCCGTCCAGCCTGGCCTGACACCATTCCAAGCCATCTCTCGAAGTGGCAGGCTCCCACCCGGGGTCCCAGCCCAGGGTCCCAGCCCGGGGTCCCAGCCCAGGGTCCCAGCCCAGGCAGCCCCAGCAGGGGCAGCAGCCCTTACCATGGTCTGGAAGCAGGAGTGGAGCTGGGTCAGGAACGGAGGCTTCCCCGAGAGCGCCAGCACGCGCTTCTCCACCATGGTGCACTCCACGTCGTCGTCCTGGATCACCACGTCCTTCTTCAGGATCTTCACAGCGTACAGCTCGTCCGTGCCCTTCCTCTCGGCCAGCATCACCTGCACGAGGCACCGGGCACGTTCCACTTTCCTCTGTTTATACCACAGCAGAGCAAACCCAGGCAGGCTGTGCCAAGCCTCTCCCGCCGTGGCAGCGTCTCCCTGCCGGTGCCAGCCCCGTGCCGGGCAGCCCCGGGCGGCAGGGATCGCGTGCTGGGCTGGGCACGCCGGGGCAGGGGCACACAGCCCGCGCCCCTTCTCCAGGCAGAGGCGCTTTCCAGCCGGGCCTGGCCCGGGGCCTCGTGTGCAGGCTGCATTCCCCTTCACTGGGTGCTGGGGCGGAAAGAGGCTGGTGCTTAGCTTGATTTATCCCTGTAATACAGACTATTTGTTTGGGAATGATCCAGCACAAGGACTGGAGGGTTCTGAGCGCAGAGAAAGCGAGTTTGGCAGGCTCCAGCGAGGCCGGCGTGCTGCTCCTGGCCCTGGCCAGCAAATCCTGAGCAAAGCTGAGCTCCTGGGGCCAAAGGGTTAACAGAGACAGACAGAGGCTCCTCAGACACCCAGGCTGTGCCCAGGAGCTCTCCCGGCCGGCAGGGACTGGCACAGGCAGCCGGGCACAGGAGCAGTGCCAGCCCTGGGAGGGAAGGACACGGTGCCGCCTCGGATGGGGACGGCAGGGCCAGGGACACTGGGCACAGCTGGGCACAGCCGGGCTGGGGAGCCAGGCAGCTCCCCCTGCTCCCGGCACCTCTGCCCAGCCCCTCCCGAACATCTGGCACCGCTGGCACGCCCGGAGGCGGGCACGGAGCCGTGGCACCCGGGGGTGCCCGGGCAGCAGGGATGCCTGGGGGAGCGCAGGCACACGTGAGGGCGAGGCTGCATCTGCCAGAGAAACCAACGTGCTGGTTTAATTAGCGCTAATTAGCATATTTCTAACACTCTGTTCCAGGAACAGTTTCTGCCACACATTCCCTTACGTAAGGCCGAGCCGGCCGAGGGTTTGCTGCTCGTGTTTGTCAAACCAAGGCAGGGGCACGGCACCAGCACAGCGGCTCCAGATGCCAGCGCTGCCCGGGGAGGATGGGGCTGGCAGGGAGGGGACGGGGACATTTCTGCCAGACAGCAGCACGGCCACGAGCACGGGGCTGTCCTGCCAGCCCATGGCACGGGGACCACGCCGAGCTCAGGGCCGAGGCTCTGGGCACTGCCAGGGCCTCCCCAGAGGTTCCCTGCCTGCCACAAACGCTTCCCCAGAGCTCTGAGAGGGAGACAATGCCCATGGAGAAGCCAGGACCTCCCAGAGCTCCAAGGCCAGCAGAAGGCTGGGGAGGAAGGGATGGAAGGGATGGGACCTCCCAGAGCTCCAGAGCCAGGCTGGGAAGGAGGGGATGCTCCTGCTGCACCCCTGTGCTCAGGGGAGCATCCCTGCACACCCTCCCCACCTCTGCTCCCTGCCTGAGGAAGGAGCCTGCAGGCACAGCAATATTCCCTGCAATTAAGGCAACTCACTGATGCCAGTGGGGCTGGGCCAGCCCTCCCACCAGCAAACACTGCAGCAGAGCCCCAGCGTTCCCTGGAGCACTGGGACCCCCAGTGGAAATCAAGAGACTTGGCAAGACCCCAAGAAAAATGAAGGCTCCAAGGCACATAATTACCAGGAGAATGAAATTCTGTTACTGCTCACAACCGGTCTGGGAAGTTAATTAAAATGTTCCCATGTACTTGTAATTATTGGAGGAGAAGAAAACACCAACCAAACGAAAAAGAGCTTTAAAGACACATCCCCTGCTTCCCAAAAGGATGGAGTCTGTGCTGGTCCCATCAGACATCTCTGGTGATCCCTGTGCCCACCAGTGCTCCCAGTCCCCCACCAGTGCTCCCAGTCCCCCACCAGTGCTCCCAGTGCCCCGGAGTGTTCAGTGCAGGCACTGGGAGCTCACCTTGCCAAAGCTCCCTTTGCCCAGCACCATCAGGAAGTTGAAATCCGAGAGCTTCATGCGGTCCCGGCTGCCGTTGTTGTCCAGTTTGGAAATGGCATTTCTGGTCTTCTCATCCGCAGCCTTGGAGCCCGTCCCGATCTTGGCTCTCTGCAAAGGTGAGGGGAGGGAAACTTCACTGGGGGCAGCAGGGAGAACGGGCATTATAGACCCAGGGGTGCTCCCAAAATCCCACCCCAGCAGCTCTGTCCCAGCTCAGAACCCACCCTGAGCGCTGGGAGCCTTTGCCATGGGCCTGGTGGGGACAGCACCAAGAAAGGCACTGGAGGAGTCACCAGTCCTGGCACATGGCACTGCTCTGCTGCTTCCCAGTTAACCTCTGCCAGGGCAACTGGGAGTCCCCTGTGCCCGTGGCCACCCCTGTGCCTGTGGCCACCCCTGTGCCCGTGGTCACCCCTGTGCCCATGGTCACCCTGTGCCCGTGGTCACCCCTGTGCCCATGGTCACCCCTGTGCCCGTGGCCACCCTGTGCCTGTGGCCAACCCTGTGCCCATGGCCACCCCTGTGCCCATGCCATGCTGCCCCATACCGTGCCCAGGGCTAGAGGAGCTCCTCTGGGGCAGAGCCTGCCCGTGGCTCTTCCTCACCAGGGGAGGGGCAGCACGAACACACCCAGGTAACCGGGGGGCTCATCCAGCCCACCCCCGCTACTGCCCCGTGAGCCTCTGTGACTGCACCCGGCACCGCAGGGAAGCACAGGGGGAGCCACGAATCCCTTTGGGACAGCCCAGACAGACTGACAGCCCTGACTGACAGACAGCTGCTGCTGCCCTGACAGACAGACACACAGCCTCCTGCCCTGACAGACAGACACACAGACACACAGCCTCCTGCCGTGACAGACTGACAGACAGACAGACAGACAGACAGACACACAGACACACAGACACACAGACACACAGACACACAGACACACAGACACACAGCCTCCTGCCCTGACACACAGACACACACACACACAGACAGACACACAGCCTCCTGCCCTGGTGGCACGGCAGGCCGGCAGGCAGCGTGGAGAGCCCCGGGAGCAAGGAAAAGCAACTCACCTCGAATTTCTGCCTCAGCTCCTCGTTGCCTTCCTCGCCCTCGGGAGGCACGGGCACGTTGAAGTACTCGCCCTCCTCCTGGCTGAGCAGCTTGAACCTGGGCCAGAGAGAACGTGGGCCAGGGCTGAGGGGGCAGCACAGCTCTGCCTCAGTGTCCCCGCGCCCCGGGACCCTGCCCAGCTCAGCAGAGCCCCCAGACCCTCCCCCTGGCAAGCCCCAGTCCCCCAGTGGCCAGGGGGATGTTTTGGGGTCCCTCTCTGTCCCAGGGACCCCCAGAGCTGGGCAGTGCTGTGGTGGGCACACAGCACTGCTGCCAGAGCAGTCCTGAGCCCAGAGCCACCGACAGACTCGAGTTTCCTGTGAGCCACGGGCACATCGCCCCTTCCGTCACTGCCCGCGGGGACAGCACGGGCTGGCACTGCCAACTACTGGAAATGCAGCTGAACCTGGGGGGAAGAAATGGTGATGTTTGATCCTAGTTCAGAAGGCTGAATGATTTCTTTATTATTATAAATGTGCTATAATACATTAATAGACTATTTAAATGGGATACTAAAACTACAAACCTACTTTTCTAACTACCATATCTAACTCACAACTCCTGACCCTCTCTGAGAGCCCAGCCCCAGGTGGGTTGGACTGGGTTGGATTGGATTGGATTGGATTGGATTGGATTGGATTGGATTGGATTGGATTGGATTGGATTGGGTTGGGTTGGCCACCAGGCTCAAACAATCCTCACCAGAATCCAGCCCAGCAATCACCCCAGGGAAACAATTCTCCAAACACATTCCACATGGGAAAACAAGGAGCAGAAATGGAAATTGTTTTCTCTTTCTTTCCTCTGTGCTCCTCTATGAAAACTCCTGAGGGAGAGGAGAAAGTGCCTGGCACAGCCAAGCCCAGCACACAGACAGGATGCTCCTCCAAAGGAGGAGAAAAGCTTAAGCAGCAATTACCAAAACCAAGGGAACCCCACCCAGGTGCCAGAGTTCCACCCTGCATGGGCACAGATGTGCAGCCAGGCTGGATCCTGGCTGGGTGTGCCCAGGACAAAGCCCTGCCCAGCACAGGCTCTGCCTGCCAGCTGCTTCCCTGCATTAACTGCAGCTGTTGCATCTGAAACACGGCTCAGGGCTCCAAAGTCTCTACAGACCCCTGACATTTCCTGTTCGTGCTCTTTGCCTGGCTCTGCACATGGACACCACAGAATGAAGAGAGCTGAACCAACATATTTTGGGGTAAGAGCCTCTTTTGGAAATCTTTGCCATCTCCTGATGTTCCTCCCCTTCACAGCCTGCTTACCTCTGAGCTAGCCTAGGATATTTTTGGGGCTGTGCAGGGGGGGAACGTCAGGCACCCACCCCACCCAGTTCCTCTACACTGCCCAAGGCCCCCAGAGCCAGCCCGTGCTGGGCACTCAGCCTGGCAGCCCTGGTGCCACACACACACCCCATGGCAGCCGCAGAGGTGCCACACAGACTCCCCATGGCAGCCCTGGTGCCACTCAGACACCCCATGGCAGCCGCAGAGGTGCCACACAGACACCCCATGGCAGCCCTGGTGCCACTCAGACACCCCATGGCAGCCCTGGTGCCACTCAGACACCCCATGGCAGCCCTGGTGCCACTCAGACACCCCATGGCAGCCCTGGTGCCACACACACACCCCATGGCAGCCCTGGTGCCACACAGACACCCCATGGCAGCCGCAGAGGTGCAGCAGCCCCCCCAGGAGCTGGGCCGGGTGCCCGGGGCAGGGGGGCTGAGGGGCTGCCCCGGTGCCATCTGCAGGCTGGGCTGCTCTGTGCCCGCGGCGGTGGCCAAAAGGCACCTCTCACCATCCATCCACTCCTGCCTTCTGCAGCTCGGAGATGCCGAAGGACAGGGAGCCCATGAAGTCGTTCCTGCTGGTCAGATCCCAGTCCCAGATCTCCACGGACAGCCGCCTGTCCTTGTCTGCCTCCTTCAGCTGGCTGCAAGAGAGGAGGAAGGGAGGGCTTCACCCTGAGCTGTGCCCCACCACCGTGCCCCCCTGCCCAAGGGATGCCAGGGGAAGGGATGGTCCTCAGGGCCTGCTGAGGTCTCCAGCACTGATTTCCAAGGCACACCCCATCCACAGGCAGCTCCTGCCCGGACACACTCTGCTCTCAGCAGGGTCAGGGCAGAGGTTTGGGTGCTTCTGTGTCACAGAACAAAAAGTCACTTCTCAGTGGAACCAGCTCAATGCCTCTGAATAATTACATCACAGCAAACAAAGTCCCGTTCATTCTTGGTGCTGAGAAAATTACCTTTACCAATTGAAACGTTTTCCTCGTACTTACAATTTAAATGTCTCGTTCCACTCAGGATTCAGGGAGCACTTGATAGTTTTGGTCTTCTGTTTGCTTTCGTTTTTGGGGTCGGGGATGAGTTTCAGCTTCACGTAGGGATCTGACAAGCCGTTAGGGTCCATAGGAACTAGGTTTTTAGCATCTCTTACTGGGGAAGAGAAAAAGGATTAAATTCAGTATTCCAGCTATAAAAATACCCAACAACTGACAACTTCCCCGTGTGCCAAGAGTAAGTGTGAAAATAGTGATTAAAAGCAGAATTAAACTGGATCTGTGCAGACATGGGCATTACATGAAGAACGACATAATTAACGCAGCTCTGGCGGATGGGGGAGGCTGCAGGGTCGACTCGGGGGATTATTTTTACTTTCTGACAGGCTGATTTGTTGTTTGCTCTCGGCTTTAAGCACTTTAAAGCTGATTTGTTTCCTCTGGCCCCTTGGGAAGCAGGATTGCTCTGATGGGTGGGGGCCGGAGCTTTCCTGGAGGAGTGGGAGCAGCGATGGAGGGAGGTGGGCTGGGGGCAGGAGCCCGGAGCACCCCAGCAGCGGGCACATCCCGCTGCCCCCGGGTCTCCAGGGGTCTGGCGATGCCCACGGGCTCCAGCACTCGCCCACGGGGCGGCACAGCCCAGCTCGGGGCAGGGCGGGCAGAGCCAGCCTGAGGTGGCTCCGCTGCCCAGAGTGGATTGCAGCTCGGGCAGGGGAAACACAGCCAGGCTGGGCCCAGCCTCATCTCCCAGAGTACGTCCAGAAGGGTCTGGCTGCAGCAGGAGGATCTGATCTTCCCCAGGCTGGGCAGGATTTCAGAGGTGGGAAGGCTGACGGGCCATAACCTGAGGAAAAGCTGTTTGCAGGAGCCCAGAGCAGAGCCCCCTGCCCAGGGGTCAGGCACAGAGGGTCCTGCCTGAAACCCCAGCACGTCCCACCAGCAGCTCTGCTGTGAGGCTCACGGGGCTCAGCTTCACCCTCACCCCACCAGGAGGAGGAGGAGGAGGAGGAGGAGGAGGAGGAGGGAACCTCAGCACCACAGGATGGCCCAAGGCACCTTCAGGCTCACAAGAGTCAAACCAATTGCCCAGTGCCCAGCTCACCAGTAAGGGATTTCTGATGAGGCTGGGAACCAGAGCGCTTTGAAAAGCAAATTAATTCCCCAAAATCTGCCATCTATTGCTGTCCTCCCGAAGCACTGCCCAATTTCCAGCTCCATGGAATCGAACTGGTAGCCAAAATTCAACTCTGCATTTATAAAGGAGCTCATTTATCAAACGTGACAGCCCTGAGCAGCCTGTGAGACCAGAGAGCTGTGGGCGTGCTGCCCCATCCAGGACAGCTGGGGATGCTGCCAGGATCAGCCCTGGGGTGCTTTGGGTGGAAGGGACCCCCCAGCCCCCCCAGTGCCACCCTGTGCCCCCAGTGCTGGCAGGGCGAGGGGAGCGATGCTCCCAGTGCCCTGCTGAGCCCTGCACACCCCACCCCGAGCTCGTCCTGCCTCCTGTCACCTTCCTGCCTTCAAAACCCCAATGAAAAGGTGTCCTCAGTGTCCCTGCAGCTCGGGGAGCCCAGGGACGGCCCATGGGCAGGACTGCTGTGCTCCCAGGATTTCCCCGGGTGTCACTTAGGGCTGCCAGAGCCATTCAGAGATTTTCTCTGAGCCATCGGTGAGAAGCTATCACAAGCTTTGCAGGATAAATTCAAATCTCATTCACCCGGCCCTGCAGTGCAGAGTGGTGGCACCTCCTGGCACTGCCCCCTGAGCCCCCAGGACGTGCCAGCAGCTCGCCCTGCCCGTGCCCTGAGCCCTCTGTGGCACCTCCCTGGCACCAGGGCAGGGCACTGGGGTGTCCTCGCTGCTGACCCAGCCCTGCCCTGGAACAGAAGCACCGAGGGCCCCCCATGTGAGGCGGGGCTGGAGGGGCTCTGGGCTGTCTGGGGGTCCCCTCGCTGGGAGGGGGCACAGGGGATGCCACAGCCGTGTGGCACTGTCCCAGAGGCAGCACAGCTCTGCAGACCCTGGACTGCCCCGTCTTGTTCACTTGGTGCCCTTCGCTTCTCCGAGGCACTGAGAGGCCGTCCTGGCCCTCGCACTTAATCAGTTTATGCCCTGAAGCATGAGATTTGATTACCTCGTGTCATTATCTCAGCGTGCAGACCTCCAGCTTTCATTAATGGGAATAATTTTATCTGTTCGTTTAAAAAAACCAAAATGCTTCTGCTTGACCTTAAGAAACTTCCTGACTTTTCAAGCAGAAATCCACAACTAAGTGAAGGAGGAAAGGAGACCTGGAGCAGCACAACAGCGGAACCTCCCGGCAGGGAGAATGCTCCTCGCCAACATCCCTGGCAGTTATTTGACACTTAAATCTGATGGAAAATAGTTTCATATCTCTCATATCCTGACAGTTTTGTGCATCATTAAGAAGCAGTAAAATCATTATTAACAGTGATGAGTAAGAATATGATGATTGCTTTTAAAGCAAGTCCTAAATCACTCTGGGCTCCAAGCGTGGCCAGGGAGGTGCCACAGAGGGCTCAGGGCACGGGCAGGGCGAGCTGCTGGCACGTCCTGGGCTCAGGCTCAGGGGGCAGTGCCAGGAGGTGCCACCACTCTGCACTGCAGGGCCAGGTGAATGAGATTTGAATTTATCTGCAAAGCTTGTGATAGCTTCTCACCAATGGTTCAGAGAAAATCTCTGAATGGCTCTGGCAGTAAATGCAGAGTTGGGGGGAGACACCCTGTGGAAAACGTGGAAATCGTGGGGGCAGATCAGTCTGCAGAGCTCGAAGCAGCATGGAGGTCAGAGCAGGAGCTCTCTGTGCTCTGGTAGCAGGGCACCCCTGCCCCAGCTCCCAGGCTGTCCAGGAAAGGCAGGATAAATCCCTGGCCAAAGTGACCCCAGCAGATAAATCCCTGGCCAAAGTGACCCCAGCAGGTGATTTGCTAAACTGCCAGTGGGGTTCTCCCTGATGGGAAATGAAAAGCAAGCCCACAAAACCCACTCCTGTCCCACTCTCCCGTGGGCTGCCACGTCCTGCCCCTCCTCTCTGAGCTGCTCAGAGCAGGAATTCCTCTGCCCACTGCCCTCCAAGGGAAAGGCCCTGGCACACATGTGCTGTTCCTGCCCATGGCACAGGCTTGGCACTGGATCTTCTTTAAAAAACCATTCCAGGATTCTGTGGGTCTGCTAAAAACCCTTCCAAAGCCTGGGTCCCTGCATTAGAGCCCCACACCTCATCCCAGCCCATCACCTCTCCTGGCCCTCGATCCCACAGCAATCCCACAGCGATCCCACAGCTCTGATGGGATTTTGGAGAGGGGATTTGGAGAGGGGATTTGGAGAGGGGATTTGGAGCGGGGAGGGCTCTCGGGCTGACCTGCAGCACTCAGCTCCCCCTGCAGCAGCACCCAGAGCCCTGGGCAGGAACAGCCCCATCCCACAGCGCCCAGCACCCAGGTGAACACCCTCAGTTAAAACACTGAATTACTGCTCTGCTAAGAATCTATTTGCACATGCTCATACAATGGAAAAGGCACAGCACTCCTTACAGCTGCATCTACACGGGCCGGTGATTGTTAATTAACTTGTTAATTAACGCGCTTCCAGGTCGCTTATCTAATCAGCGTAATTGGTTTCGGTTTTGGTCACGGTTTTCCCTCACCAGGTGGGTGAAGGGGTGTAAGGAAGGTCTTCAAGGTGGGCTGGAGCAAGGCTTGGGCCAGTGGGGTCACAACAGCTGATGCTTCAGGGGAGGGTTACAGGTGGGGGGGAACATTTGGGGGGTGAGGCTGAACAGCCCACTTGACTTTTGGAACTGTGTGTAGGGAAGGGCGTTGTCCAGCCAGCAGCGGGATGCTTTCACCCTGGCTGTGCTACGGTGAACAATTGTATTTCTCCATCCTTCCCAACCAAGGGAAGCTCCGGTGCCCCGGGGGGCTCAGGGCTGGGCAGGAACCCCGGGAACGGCGGCAGCAGGAATTCCCGAGGGACGGGAGGAGCGGGGGCAGCCCCTGCTCCACACACACACACATACATATACATACATATACATACATGCATACACACACACACACACACACATATACATACATGCATACATACACACACACACACACATACATATACATACATACACACATACACACACACACACATATACATACATGCATACATACATACACACACATATACATACATGCATACATACATACACACACACACATACATATACATACATGCATACATACACACACACACACACATATA